AAAATATATTTAGAAAGATAAAGGTAGTGAATGACACTGTTTTATTTTGTTTTCCTAACAAGTACCATAAACTGGGTAGCTTAAGCAACAGAAATATATTTTCTTGTAGTTCTGGAGCCTATAAATTAAAATTCAGGCAAGGCAGGTTTGGTGTTATTCTGCAGTCTCTCTCATTGCCTTTCAAATGACCCTATGTCTTCACATTGTGCTTCCTCTGTGTGTATTTGTGTTCTAGTCAACTTGCCTTATACAAATGTCAGTAACCTTGGAATAGAGCCCACACAAATGACCTCATTTTACATTAATTACTACTTTAAAGGCTCTATCTCCAAATACAGTCACAGACTGAGGTACTTAAGACTTCAACATAAAAATATTGAGGGGACACAATTCAGCCCGTAAAACAAGCTGTATCACTTAGCTATTGCTGGATAGCAAGGCATCTCAAAAAACAAGCACTTATTATCAGACAACTATCTACAGTTTGCTTGGCTGAGGATGGGTTTGGCTTGACAGTTCTCACTGCAAATCTGTAGTCACCTTTGCATAAGGCTGCAGAAGTTGGGGTGAGTTTGGTTCCAGATTTCTCTCATCCTTTTCTTGGGGTAATGAGTCTAGAAGAAAAATGGTCTTCTGGCTGAGGAACATACAGGAGAAGGAAAGTAGGAAACCAGGAGACTCCTCAAGCTTAAGATGAACTGGTAAATTGTTGCTTCCATCCATTTACTATTGGCCAAAGCAAGTCACATGACATACCCCCAAAACTAGGGCAACTATACTTCGTCTATGATGAAGAGATAGGGTAAAGAATTGAGAACACTATTGCCATTTAGCCAAAAGCCTTTATAGTTTGTAAATCATGCTTGGTCAAAGTCAAGAAAGCTGAATTCCATCATTAAATAAAAAGATAAAATGGTATGTATAAATGAAGGCAAAATACAAAGATCACACTGTAAATAAACACGGAGTGTAATTAAGCAGGGACTGGGACAATTGCTGTAAATGGATTCATATAGCAAAGATGCAAGTTGGACATTTACATATTCAAGAGGGATTTCTATAATTAATGATACTGGATTTGGGGAGGATGGGAAAGCACTGTTATGGTGGCGGACACTTGTAATCCCAGCTACTTGGGAGGCTGAGGCAAGAGAATTACTTGAACCCGAGAGTCAGAGGTTGCAGTGAGCTGAGATCGTGCCGTTCCCTCCAGCCTAGGCAAGAAGAGTGAAACACTGTCTCAAAAAACAAAACAAACAAACAAAAAAAGTGAGTTTCAGACTGGTTAAATAAACTTCCTGAGCTTATAGAGCTTTGAAATGCTACAGTGTGGCTACAAATCCACTTTCTCTGCTTCTGATTACTAGGTTCTTACCAAATCTACCTAATAAGTGTGCAGACCCTGCAGTGAAGAATAACTGTGCTGTGAAAAGGAACAGTACTTTATTATGGAATGATACTGTATTATCCATGATTATAAGTTATTTTGAAATGATAAAATGTTAAATGACTTCAAGAGTAGTCAATGCAAATTTAGTTACAGCAACATTTACCAACACAGAGAGTTGGTATCTCATCATCTATTTATGGCAATTTTCTTTGGAGTGTAAATAATGCACAGATGTTAAGGATCATCACCTACCTATAGTCTGTAAATCCAAATGAAAGGACAGAGTTGTCACTTTGATCTTAACAGAAGGCAGAAATGTCATGCTGTTCAGCATCCAACCCTTCATTGGTTAAAATGTCACTTTGTCTATAGAGGCAAAATATTTATTGCCTCTATAATCCACATATTATATGAAACCCAAAATTTTCCTTGAGCTGATATAATTAAATGTTTACTTAGAAATACACCATATAAATTTTTGATGCTAATAATCATTTTCTTTTTAATGTGTATCTGAAACATTTAAAAGAAGAGTCATTTGTTGGAAAATCCTACAAACATTTTCAGGTTTTTCACTGCTTCTAAAATGTTAGCATTTCGATATAAAACTTTTTTATCCCCGAGAGGGAGATGAAAAAGGATATGTTTGAGTGCCTTACTTAGTAGACAGATAAATCTAATTAGCATTAAATTAGACTACAGTATCAGGGTTAGCCATATGTGTATTTCAGTTTAATTGGAGAAAACTATAGAGTTCATTAATCAAATCACTATGCAATATACACAAAATGTTGCAAATGGCAAAGGCTTGCAAATGCAAATACCAGAAATCATGGATCTATACCTCAAATACAGAAATTGCTTTTATTCAACATATTTTTCACTAGTTTGAGTGTCCATAACTTAATGTGAATTATATTTAATGACACAGGGCTACTAACATTTTAAACATGATTCAAATAATAAATTTAAGCCATTTTGAATGTAATTTTAATGTTTGATTGATAAAGATTCAGATACGCCAATAAATTAATCTTTAGTTCTTCATTGGTTTAACAAGATTTGTACAAATGGACTTCATAGGCTGTGTTGGGATCTTAAGGAGAATAAGGGTGTATGGAAGATGATTGTTGTTTCTATACGTTATTTCTCCTTCCGTCTCTGCTACCCTTTGCCTTAGCTCAGTGCATAGCCCCAAGCAAGAATTATGACTTTTTAAACCAGCCATGACACTCTTATCCCTTCTGTCATATTGGTAACTTTTCCACCCCCTCCTGCAACCATGATGTCCCACTGAGCACGCTCTAACCAATGCAGTGTAAAAGCTTCAATGCTTGTGTGATTCAGGGGATGAAACATGCTTCTTATTAAAAAAAAAAAAAAAAGTGAGGGACAACCAGAGAATGAAAATGTTCTTATTCATGTGCCTCTTTTTCTGCTTGGAAAGTTGAAGATTTCTATAACTTTCATGAGACTATATTTCCCAGACATTGGAATCCAAAGCAAGGGACTACAGAGTGATTCGACAGAGCACAATTGGGAATCAAATTAAAAATCTGGCATCTAACACTAGCTAAGATTTGAATTTGAAAAGGTCTTGTTGCCTGGATTTGTCACTTGTGATTAAATAAACCTAAAAGAGTGAATACTTTGAGAATAAATCAAATAAACCTGCCACTGTTTGTTAAAGGCTGGGGAGGGATAACTTGGGGAAAAATGCCAGATTTAGGTGATGGGAGGATGGAGGCAGCAAACCACCTTGCCGTGTATGTACCTATGCAACAATCCTGCATGATCTGCACATGTACCCCAGAACCTAAAGTACAATTTAAAAAAAAGAAAGAAAAGGGTAATATATTCAGGAATAAATATTCAAGATTTTTTTTTTAAAATACAAAGATTACTAGTTAACAATTTATCATATGGAGTTTAACACAAATATCTTGTGGCTATGTGAATTTGAAATATGTATAATTTAAACTGGATATTTAAACTGTATATTTGTAGGACAAATATACAATATACTTTCAGAAGACTCACTATACTTTTTCAAACACTATAAACACATATAGTCATTTCTAAATGGGTGAGAAAGAACATCCTAACAAAATAAACAAAAAAGCTTAAATGAGTCAAAATGCATTAATGAGCAGAGTTACAATTTAACAGCAAACTGTCTTTAGGTTTTCAGTTTATTAAAGATAGAATATTTAGCATTATTTTTAGTTTTTATTTAGATATAATAACCCTAAGCATGAAAAGATCTGCTTTCCTTTAACCTAAAGAAACCACATAATTTTTTTTGGTTGGTTGGTTGTTTTGTAATATTATCCTGAGAAAGAAAACTAAAAATTAAGGACTCCAATTCACTATTCCAAAAGGAAAAAAAATAAGGTGAAAACTGAGTTTTGCTGCAACTTTCTTTTTGTTCCTAAGCAGATACCTACAGATAAAAAGTTAAGTATCCCCAAAGGTAGCTACTCTCTGTTCATCTTATGTAAAGTGCTGATTTACTGAGTGAACATGAGCTGACTATTTCCCTATTTGCTTCTTTGATCTTGTAACTTGTGGATTACAATACCCCGACTCTTTCCCCTCCAGCCCATTTTCCCTCTTAAATATTGAAGCCCTCAAATTCATCTTTAGAGAAAGGCGAAGACCTCAGACTGCTTCTCTGATTTTTTTTTTTTTTTCCCTTCTGGGCATGCCCTTAACCTTGGCAAAATAAATTTCTAAATTGATTGAGACCTGTCTCAGATACTTTTGGGCTTACAATCCTAATATGACCTGTCTGGATCCATGGTTCTTTCTAAAATGTGGTCATTTGTTATTTGAACAATATGATTCTAAAGAGCCATCTATTATTTTTTTCCTAGAATTTCTTGATTATTTCCACAACAATATTTGTCCTTATGAGTTAAGCCTGATATGTTTTCAGGATTAAGTCTCATTTAACTTTGTCCTATGTTTATATTATATCTTTTAATAGGACTGAAAAATTAAATTGCATTTATATAAAATGGATAATTTTCTTTACTATGTGAAGTGTGTGTTGAATATGATGATTCAGATTTTTAAAACAAAACAACAACAAAACAGTTTCTAAAATGTTTTTTCTTGTGAAAAATTTGCCAACCAATAAGGGTATTCACTTATAAAATTAGTTAATTCCAAAACAATTTGCTAGCACTTGTTTTAGGTTGTCCTAAGTATATGGCCAGAATTTGAATTTATACCTACGGCCTCAGATTCTCCTACTAAGTTACAGAAGAAGGTAAATAAGGAAGTCATCAGTGAAGAAATTGAAATTACTAGAATTGCTTCCAAATTCATATTTAGACTCTTTCTCAGCAGATAAAGTTAGGCTGCCAAAGGCCCAAACGGTTTCTTTAGGGCCTTCTATGACAGTGCCAGTTTGAAGGCGTGTACCTTTTCCCTGGGGAACTCTTTTCCATGTACCAGGACATGTTTATCCTTTTTCCCTATACCAAGGAAATGTATTCACTACATTTGCTTATTTTTTATTTTTCACTACTAAACTCCTCGTATTTGGAAAAATAATGATTCTGAGAATTACATTATAACATTTACTAGGTTATCTCCCATCCAGCAGGTTACACTGGGAATCCTGAAAACAATGAAGGTACAGATGTGTCATGGTTTGTGAGATGTGAGCTCAGGTATTTATCTGGGGAATTAATAAAATAACATTTTTTCTAGAAGATATTGTGGTAAAATGATTAAAATAGTAATTATTTTTAAACTACATACAAGATGTAAACCACATTTCTACTTTACAATGTAAAATAAGTAAGCACAGATCTTATCCTACCAGTGACTTCCATTTACTATTTTTATTTGCTTCATTGGAAGCATTTTATTTATTTTTGAAATTATTATTTTTTTTATTTTACTTTAAGTTTTGGGGTACAAGTGCAGATCTAGGAGGATTGTTACATAAGCAAACACATGCCATGTGGTTTGCTGCCTACATCCCCCTCTCACCTACATTAGATACTTCTCCTAATGTTACCCCTCCCTAATCTTCCCACCCCCTGTTATTCCTCCCCAACCCCCCCAAAACACCCCAGTGTGTAATGTTCCCTTCCCTGTGTCCATGTGTTCTCATTGTTCAACACCCATTTATGAGTGAGAACATGCTGTGTTTGGTTATCTGTTCTTGTATCAGTTTGCTGAGAATGATGGTTTCCAGATTCATTCATGTCTCTGTAAGGGACATTAACTCATCCGTTTTTATGGTTGCACAGTGTTCCATGGTGTATATGTGCCACATTTTCTTTATACAGCCTATTGTTGATGGGCATTTGGGTGGTTCCAAGTCTTTACTATTATAAACAGTGCCACAATGAACATATGTGTGCATGTGTATTTATAATAGAACAATTTATATCCTTTGGGTATATACCCAGTAATGGGATTGCTGGGTCAAATGCTATTTCTATTTCTAGATCCCTGAAGAATCATTACACTGTCTTCCATAATGGTTGAACTAACTTACAGTCCCACCAACAGTGTAAAAGTGTTCCTATTTCTTCACATCTTCTCCGGCATCAGTTGTCTCGAGATTTTTTAATGATTGCTATTCTAACTGGAGTGAGATGGTATCTCAGCGTGGTTTTGATTTGCATTTCTCTAATGACCAGTGATGATGAGTATTTTTTCATGTTTGTTGGCCTCATTAATGTCTTTTTTTAAAAAGTGTCTGCTCATATCTTTCACCCACTTTTTGATGAGGTTGGTTGTTTTTTTCTTGTAAATCTGTTTTAGTTCTTTGTAGATTCTGGATATTAGCCCCTTGTCAGATGGGTAGATTGCAAAATTTTTTTTCCCATTCTGTTGGCGGCCAGTTCACTCTAATGACTGTTTCTTTTGCTGTGCAGAAGCTCTTAAATTTAATTAGATCCCATTTGTCTATTTTGGCTTTTGTTGTCATTGTTTTTGGTGTTTTAGTCATGAAGCCCTTGCCTATGCCCATGTCCTGAATGGTATTGCCTAAGTTTTCTTCTAGAGTTTTCATGGTGTTAGGTCTTATGTTTAAATGTGTTTAAATCTTTAATTCATCTGGAGTTGATTTTTGTATAAGGTGTAAGGAATGGGTGGAGTTTTAACTTTCTGCACATGGCTAGCCAATTTTCCCAACACCATTTATTAAACAGGGAATCCTTTTCCCATTGCTTGTTTTTGTCCAGTTTGTCAAAGATCAGATGGTTGTAGATGTGTGGCATTAGTTCTGTAACAGAGATATACACCAATGGAACAGAACAGAGACCTCTGTTCTGGTACCAGAACCATGCTGGTACCAGTTTTGGTACCAGTACCATGCTGTTTTGATTACATTAGCATTATAGTATGGTTTGAAGTCAGGTAGCATGATGCTTTCAGCTTTGTTCTTTTTGCTTAGGATTGTCTTGGCTATGCGGGCTCTTTTTTGTTTTCATATGAAGTTTAAGGTGGTTTTTTCCGGTTCTGTTAAGAAGGTTAAGGGCATCTTGATGGGGGTAGCATTGAATTTGTAAATTACTTTTGGCAGTATGGCCATTTTCACAATAATGATTGTTCCTAACCATGAGCATGGAATGTTTTTCCATCTGTTTGTGTCGTCCCTTATTTCCTTGAGCAGTAGTTTGTAGTTCTCCTTGAAGAGGTCCTTTATGTCCCTTGTTAGTTGTATTCCTAGGTATTTTGTTCTCTTTGTAGCAATTGTGAATGGGAGTTTGTTCATGATTTTGCTGTTTGTCTGTTATTGGTGTTCAGGAATGTTTGTGATTTTTGCACATTGACTTTGTATCCTGAGACTTTGCTGAGGTTGCTTATCAGGTTAAGGAGATTTTGGGCTGAGATGATGGAGTCTCCAAAATATATAATCATGTCATCTTCAAATAGAGACAATTTGACTTCTTTTCTAATTGAATACTCTTATTTCTTTTTCTTGCCTGATTGCTCTGGCTAGAATTTCCAATACTGTGTTGAATAGAAATGGTGAGAGTGGGCAGTCTTGTCTAATGCCAGTTTTCAAAGGGAATGCTTCCAGTTTTTTTGCCCATTTGGTATGCTATTGGCTGTGGGTTTGTCATAAATAGCTTTTATTATTTTGGGATATGTTCCATCGATATCTAGTTTATTAAGAGTTTTTATCATAAAGGGCTATTGAATTTTGTCAAAGGCCTTCTCTGCATCTTTGAGATAATCACGTGGTTTTTGTCTTTGCTTCTATTATGTGACACGTTATGCTTTTAGATCTGCCTGTGTTGAACCAGCCCTGCCTCCAAGGGATGAAGCCTACTTGATTGTGATGGATAAGTTTTTTGATGTCCTGCTGCATTTGGTTTGCCAGTATTTTATTAAAGATTTTTGTAACAATGTTCATCATAGATATTGGCCTGAAATTTTTTTTTAGTTGTGTCTCTGCCAGGTTTTGGTATCAGGGTGATGTTGGTCTCATAAAATGAGTTAAGGAGGATTCCCTCCTTTTGTATAGTTTGGAATAGTTTCAGAAGGAATGGTACTAGCTCCTTTTGTGTGTGTGTGTGTGTGTGTGTGTGTGTGTGTGTGTGTGAGCGCACACAGATGTGCAATTTAGAAGAATACAGGAGAATTAATAGATAAAATGCTCCATATTCCTTATAACTTTCGTACAATCTTCCTTTTGTCTTTCTAATCAAAGCCAATTTAGATTCAAAGACAATTTTAGGGTCATATTACTTTTGCTCAAATCTTCAATTGTCCGTTAACTCTGTCACTGAGTTTTGGTGGTCAGTCTATTTACACATTTGTTTATTGAAGAGATTGTTCTTTTTTCCCTCTAATTTCTATGAATTTTCTTTCTAAATGCCTGTGCAATACTTTATTTTACTTTGGATTTGGCACTCTGATTAATACTTATTTCAAACTCTAGCCTTCACTGATGATTTTGTATCCTAGAATAAATTATGTCAGTTTAATTACAGACTCAGTTTATTTTCAATGTAAGGAATCACATATATTTATTTTTAATTTAGAGAATCCCAAAATGACAAATCATTTTCTATTAGACTTTGGATGTGATTTCTACTCAATTTTATTCTCTTCTGTAATTTTTTGATATGACATATCCAAATGTTATAACTTATTTATTTACATAGGTTATTATATTGGCTAAATCATAGAGTTTGCTAAATCTGAGATGTTTACAAGCACCTGAAACTTGTATGCCTTAAATCTGCAGTGTAAGAAAATAAATTTAAGCTATATTTCAAGTAATTTAAGAATATTAAAGTGTCAGATAATTATTATTATTTTGTATTAATCATTATGTTATTTTTTATTTAATAAGTATTACCCCTGACTGGCCAATGATTAATGAATTGTTAGCTCTTTGTAACCATTGCACTTTCATGCTATATATCTGATATTATATAACATAATATCAGTTATGAATTTTAATGCATGAAAGATTTTATTTAAAAGATGGAACTAAATTCTACTTTAAATTTTACAGGTGGCTAGAGTATAATATTTTTTCAATCCTAGAAAGTTCACTTACCTCCAATAAGAGTTACAATTTTTATTACAATTTTACTTGAAAGGTAAAATAAGAATTCCACAAAAAAGACAATATAAACAGTCATATCTTGATTTAAGTGCACAAAATCCAAAGCATGTAGCAGTCACAATAACTGAGACAACTTAAGCCTATATATTGATTTTTTTTCCTACAAATTCAGTGTATCCTGGCTAATGATAAAGCTCAGTTTCTGTGAAATTATAGGAAGAGATTTATCTGATAATACTCTGCCAACTTCCTGGAGAGAAACAAGCTGGAGGTGACAAGTGCCAATACACTATGGCATAAGTAGAGCTTACCTTAGATCTTGGCATTTCAGTTTTCAACACTGAGAGAAGCAGTCAGTCATTTCAACATCAGTCAGGTGGATATAGAGTGACTTCATGGAAAGTAACAAATTCATTAAATAGCTTGATAGCTCTTCTAGAAGCTTTTTCTGAAACAGGTGAGATAAAAGGGCTTTTAAAAATAAACTAACAAGTAAGTTGGACACGTTAAAATAAAGAAAACATGTTGGGGGCGTGATTGATGAGACGCCTCAGAATGTGATCCGTGGGAAACTAAGTGTAGATTAGACAAGTCACCAGAGCCTGAAGTTGCCAATTAAGGCAGCTAAATCCTCTGCCTTTAGAAAGGATCACGTGTAAGACAAACTTTATAATGCTGCAAAATTCAAAGTTGATTTTGCTTTTGGTTTTGGTTTTCTCTTGGTCAATAGCAGGGACACATGCATATATATATTTTAAATATAAAATAACAAGGTCATATGTACATTGAAGAGTAAAGCAATAAAATTATTCTGAATTCTATAATGTATTTGCTACAAAATATTACCTTCAAATATTTTATTTTTGTTTTTCTTTAAAGCTTTGCTTTATTTTGTTAATAAACTATATAATAGATTGAAAGAGAAAAAGAATAATGAATTGTTTTATTGTTCCACAGAGTCCATTTTTTCATGCGTATATTTCCCAGAATGTAGAATTGTAATAGTTAGAATAGAAATTCAAGAGATATACCATTGAATTTTTTAACTGTTTCATGATCCAAAGTATATTTGTGTGAAGGATGAGAGCAATGGAAAAATGAAACATTACATTTTGGTTACATTACATT